CTTCCTCCTCTTCCTCTCATATACTACTCTGACCTACACACTCTCTGCTCTGTTTCATTGCTGCCATTGAAGTGTCTTTGTGAGGCCTGGTCGGGCCTGGATGGAGGGATGGGAAGAAGAGTAGAGAGGGAAACTGAGAAGGGAGGGTCTCAAGTGCTCCTCACTGCTTTCACATAATGGCCAGGCTCCTCGCCCACTCCATTAGTTGCCCTGGGAGACCAGACATCACACACACACGCAACACCACTCGCACCTCACTCGCACACCTTTGCTGACACACAAAGCATCCTGGATGCTGTTCTCCTTGACGACCACCTCCCTTAGCTTTTCTCATGGCTGTGCATGATGGATGAAGAAGGCTGATGGAGGTTGTAGTCTGGAAAAAAGACGAACTGTGATACTCCAGCTGAGTGCTCGCAGAGACATGTGGGGTTCCTTGCAAGTGGAATGTGAATGGGAGATTTGATTCCCATCTCCCTCAGCATAAGCTTCCAGTGTTGAATTTTAGTTAATACACAAATAAACTGATGTACAGCTGCTGAGTTTAGAGTGTGATCATTCCTTGTCAGAAATCATATCTTTCTCTTCTGTGCCGCTCAGATCAAAAACCACAGATAAAGAAAAATGTTCGGAGAAATAAAAATAGAAATAACTTTTCATCTATTGAAAAGTCTGTCAACAGTTCACTGATCGAAATCCACACACACAGTCATGTCCCCTCTCATCAAAGTTGTGAATGCTGAACAGTCTCAGCGTCCCGTCCTCTGACATAATGCGCTTTAATTATTTAAGTCATATCATCAGGATCATCCTGAGGATTTTAATATTATAATTACCTTTTCATGATTATCATTTTGTATGTTGTTTGATATTTTCTGTATTTTTAAAAAATAATAAAGTCTGATATTTGCTGAACTGAACAATTATCGCATAGCATTGTTTTAACAATGAAAGCAGAAACCAATGATTTGAAGATAATCATCGACAGGTCACAATTAAAACTTAAACTAAGAGAAATTAATGTACTTAACAATAAAGAGCACCTGTTTTCTCTTTTGAAATAAATGTTTAGTAAAAGCTCAGAAAAGCAGGTCAGATGTGGTTCAGTTTGAGCTGGAAACTCTAGAAAGGGTTTACTGAGATTTGAATTTGGAGCTTGTATTACCATATTGTAGGTTTCCTAAATTGTATTTATCTGAATTGAAATATTTGGAACAGTGATTCACTCTAACCTTTTTTTTTTTTTTTTTTATACACTGAAATTATGGAGATGAGTGGATACAATTGTGAACTCTTAGAAATAATGCACGGGACTGGTTCATTCTTGTCACCGCAAGCATTAAAATAATTCATTCAGTTGTAATTATTGATCAATGCCGTACTGTACTTCCTGCATCTATTCACCGTGTCCTCGGGTCTCTTTATAGTTTTTTTACTGGGTTGTTCTATCCTTGTCCTCCTGTTGCACTTAATGTAGTAGTGTACCAGCTTAAAGCTTTAGAGTAGATTAAGACTGTTGTCAGAAGTTTTTGGCTTGTCCGAAATAACCCTCAGGTGTCTTTTCCACCCTCTCAGGAATGAGATGGAGCGTCACTTCCTGGAACTTCTCCAGTTCAATATCAACGTGCCAGCCAGTGTCTATGCCAAGTACTACTTGATCTGCGGCAGCTGGCTGATGACAACAACACTCAACTTCCCTCTCGGAGCCTCTCAACAACCAGCGTCCAAAACTAGAGGTGAGCCTCCCTCCTCAGACCTTTGTCATGTCTGGACTTTGAGTTTGTCTCATTATGTTTTAATAATAGTAAGTTACTTCTCTTCTCTGCAACAAGCCCCAAAGTGAAAAGAAATATTTATCTAGCTTAACTATTTCCAATAGCTGAATGTACAAGTGGGTATTATGCTGTTTGACAAGGTCAGAGTTTTGAATTCAAAACACCTCTGATTAGATAGTGTTGTATTTACTTCTTCTTTGAGAACTTTTCAATAAGTGTGTTTTTGTGTTTTGCCAGGCCCTATTTCAAGACTATGTGAGGACAAGTTATGAAGACCGTGAGCCGACGCACGATGAGACCGATCCTTCAGCGCAGACAACGTGATAAAGGCTATAAAACCTCCAACGCTGTCTCTCATAGGCAGATTGCTGCCCTCTGCCCTCTGATTTCCAAAGCCCAGCAATCCACAGCAAGCGCCAGACAAACATGGCCACCTCCACGGGTCGACACCCAGCCACGTCAGGCAGAGTCGGGCTAGAAATGCTACTGTATGACCTGCCCAAACGCTAATTTGCATCACAGCTGTAGAGCTGCATGATTGTGAAACCTAAAACTTTACCATTGTTTTTACGAATCCCTTATTTATTTCTACTTGTCTGTCATTCCAAGGTAAAGAGTTAAACAGGACTGGCTGTGATGCGGTCGATCTCGGGATTGTCATAAAAAACATGTTTGAATTATTCCATAAGCCTTAAAGAATGAGACTGGTGTTATCTCTATTCTGTTACTCACCAAACCACATGAAAAGACCAAAAACTGATTTTTTTTAGTCCTAATACTTTCTGATTTCCCTACCTGTCTGTGGCACTCAGCCACAGGCAGTTGGTTTGTACTGAAGCACAGGCTTCAGAATTTCCTGAAGCAGCTGCTTGTAGTAGTTTTTTTATCAAATGTCACTCAAACAGTAAACGGTAAATTTGTTGGACCTATTTTAGCAGTAAATTTAATATATATTTGTAGTATCTGAGTATTATTTCTGGCACGCAGAACAGTTAATGTTGGACTGACTCAAATTGAACTACAGTGTATGTGTGTTAATGGTAATAAATGGAGGAACATCTCACCCACTGCAACAGTGTGCGCTGTTGATGTGTTTTTAATTGTTTCTGGATGACAAAGGAGCTCCATGGCTACACACACAATCCTTGTTAGGATCAATTTACTGCTGGTTTTGTCCTCTCGTGGGATTTGTTGGACAATAAAAGAAAGTAGATATCACCAGAGTTGTTCTTTTTAATAGGCACAACAAATACAAAATGCTCTTTCTTGTAAATTAGAATTAATATCAAAAGTTACTTTGGAGAATGTAAATCAAACTTTGTTTACTGTTAATACCAGTGGTGTTGCATTCTGTTTATCCACCCATTTGGATTTAGCAACAGCATGTTTCAGATGAAAAGTATTACCATATAATTATTCTACAGGAGTTGGCTAAGTAAGCACACCCTCAGTCAGCTGTTGGTCTGTTGTCTACTATACTCGTTGTCTGATTCTGTTTTTTGTTGTCTGGTGTGTGTGTGTGTGTGTGTGTGTGTGTGTGTGTGTGTGTGTGTGTGTGTGTGTGTGTGTGTGTGTGTGTGTGTGTGTGTGTGTGTGTGTGTGTGTGTGTGTGTCAGGGTCTCAGGAGTGCCAATCTGGGATCAGTTTCACTATCAGATACACTACAAAAGGGACCGACTTTACAGATTCTGAATCAGTACTGCTACCGAGTGGCCCGATACAGCAGTTAGGTCGACATAATGACATGATGTAGATTGGGTCCACTCTGTCCAGGCTCAGTATTGTGCCCCTCAAATCCCACCATCCTGACTCCGCCTCAAAGAGCTGGTCACCAGATTACCAAGCCCCTGCTTGTCCCAGGCCCCGACCAGAGCTTTCGATCAAACTACATAGATACAGAGGGGAGAAAAGAGACTGATGGATACTCCCCTCCTTTTTGCTTACTATGTAGGCCACTAGTTGTGAAACTTGTCTTGTTTTTAATTAAAAAAAAAAAAAGAAACATTTGCAGATGGAGTATTTTAAATAAACACTAATCGTGTAACAAAGATGTGTTGTGGTAATTACAAATTGTGTTGTATGTATGATGTGAGGTGGTGCGTGCGTGCGTGCGTGCATGTGTGCGTGACTAGCGGTGCTGTCGTAGAACAAAGCTCATTTAACCTGTACAACCAGTGTGCGAACAGTCCCAGTGTCACGTTTTCTTGTGGTGTGTTGTAGTGGAGCTGGGCCTCCTTGCCTGGAGACCACCTCCACCAACACCATAAGAAAAGGAATATGTTTTTATGAAATGTAACATTAATCTTTAAGAGCAATTCCTTGGATGAGATGTAAGTATCAGTATGATGATAGCTAAATAGGCTATCTTCTTTTATCGATTCGAAATGGTTCTTTTATGATACAAACTCGTTACCAGTCAGATGGTGAAGGAACCAGAGAATCCCACACATGATGATGATGTTTTGGTCTTTAAGATCTTCAGGTAACTTAGCTTCTGACCTCTGAAGTACAAGGGACTGACTGTGTGGAAATTCAAGTTTCTTCTCAGTGAGTTTCTTGTTATCCAACACACCTGATTTTCCATTGTTGTGATGAAGTATCATCATTATCATCTTGCTGTGGTAATGCTTATCCCCCCTGCTGTTAGTTTAGTTTGTGAATTATGAATCTATAGACGCAGTGTCCATAACATGTAGACTATTGTATTACAAAAATGGAATTTCAGTCGGTAGTTTACGGCTATGCAACACTTGATCTATGAGTGATGATGTAATCACGATTTACTGCTCACGATAAAGGAAATAATAGGTGTTAGTGAATGACTGTCATTGTATTCTGGCCTATGAAGCTACTGTCAGACAGCCATTTAAAGATGGAGGACGGTGCTACGAGCAAGCGACGACCAGTGTGATGTCACATGTCCAGAAAGCAGCAACACAGAGCCTGCGTGAAGTAGGTAAGACTTGATTTTTAAGAACAAAGTTTTTCAGTTGTATTTAATGCCTTGATACTGGAAATGATGTAATATTTGCCACTTAACAGTTTAACTATGTGGAGGCTACAACTAAAGATGTGTTTGGATTTTGTCCCAAAGTTATATCATTTTCTTCCAACTGACTCTGAGCACAAACTGAAATCTAAATCTTTATTCTTGTGCACTTGAGCCATTAAAACTACAACAAAAAAAAACGGTTGTGCTCTTCAGTATAAACCAATACACATACAGTATATTATGCCAGATATACAGAGACACAGATGTATATGAGACATGAACCAAACTCGAGATCAACTCAGTTTTAATTCCACAATATCAATCAAAATCTACAATATTTTTTTCAGTCTTTCTCTGTGTCAAAGCAGATTTACACTTCAGCAAATGACTAAATGCCAGTTTTTACCAACACTTATTTCATCCTCATTCACACAATCACATTCACTCACAAATCAGACTAATAAATTACTAATGTGGACACAGAGTAGTCTAAAAAGAACACGACTGGCCAACAAACACTGAATGAAGATATCGCACAACATCACAGCAGGGAGGGAGAAACACAACAAAAAGCTCAAATGAGCTTCAGTTTAATATACAAATTCTGGTTTGTTATTCAGTGGCTGTTTGCACTGAACTCTGTGGGACAGCTTCTCTTTTTGTAGTTTGTTTCTTTCAGTTTAAGTTTATGTTGAGGCAGTTAATTTGTACACCTGAACTCCTGACAGAAACACTTGATGCGACCTCTGAAACAAGACGGGATGTTCCTTCAGATTCTGTTGTCAGGGACCCTAAAAATAGATGATGCACATTAAGACCACAGATCCCTGCTGATACGATAGAGCTGTGGAATGACAACTGAGAGGAGCTTTGTTGTTACATATAATAACTCTGCACAGATTTACATGTTAGGTTTATCAGTTGTGATAAAAAGCAGTATCATCCAAAAGTTCTTCAGATGATTGATGATTATTTATCAGCAAAAGTGCTTGTTTATGCAATAAATTGTCAAACATAATGACAGATGGTCAAAGTGAACTTCTCATAGTGCTTACTCTGTCCAAAACCATCAAAATATTAAATTTGCAATGATTTTAAAAATCAGAGACACGCCACACAGCAGAATTCATATTTTAAAAGGTGGAGCCAGTGAATCATTTGTGTTTCTTCCATAGATTCAAAATAATTACCATTTAGCATTTATCCATGAGTAAAACTAAATATTTTAGCACCGTTTCCAATCAAATACAGAATAATTTAACTTGGATAGTCCCAATGTCGTATACTTGACTCTCACCACTAGAACACAATATAATAGCAATTATCAAGTTAATTAGTTTTCTTGATCATTTGTTTGGTCTATAAAAGATCCAAAAACAGTGGAAATGCCCGTCACATTTTTCCAGATCCTAAAGCGATGTCCATAAGTTTCCTCCGACCAACAATCCATAACTACAAAGATATTCAGTTTACAGTGTTATAAGTTTGAGAAAGGAAGCTAAGCTAATAAGATGAATCTTTAATAATTGGTCGATTGCCAAAGCTGTTGGTGGTAAACTTATCTGCTAGTTGACTAATTTTATGAAAACTCATCTGTGACCCTAACATCTGTCTGTTCATAATGCAAATCATTAGAAGAGTAGAGTAATGGTTCTCAAAGTGAGGTCCAGGGACCTCTCGGGGTCATTGAGATGGTATCAGCAAGTTGCATCAAAATTGATAATGCATAAGAATAATTACTCCAATAGTAGATTTTACTGCAACCACCATTTTTTTGTAATCCCTGCCTTTCTAGACAGTTTTGGTAGAAAATCTTATTTAATTGAGGGTCTGTGGTCTCATGTTAATCTGTTAGGAGGTCCATGGTTGAGTCCCTGGTGGTGGAGCAGTTCCACTGTGAACCAGCAGGTGGGGTTAAAGGCCACGGTCAGTTTCATCCTGCAGCTTTAACCCAATCCCCGCCTGTTAGTTCACATGACACGGACAAAACTAGTTCATGCTTCATAAACAGACTTTTCAAGTGTGATGTGACCTGACGACAGAGCTTAGGGTCATCCGTTATAACGACTGGACTAGTTTTAGTTTGATTCCTAGATGATTTCCAAGTCTGAGAAAAAGCTAAGCAAAGACAGTTTCTCAGCGCTGTTTCAGTTTGTCATCATACAAAACACATTCACAGTCACACTCAAACACTGATATGTACAACTTTATACATTTCAAATCAGTCAAGATTTGTTTCTCTGGTGTCTCACACATGTGGCAGTGGCATTGGTTGGTTACAAATGAAACATATCACACTATACACCTAATTTTCTTTTTTACAGCAAAATTTATACAATATATACATAAATAAATATGTTTTTCTCTCTCAGTGCTCAGGATAAGCAGATAGGAAGAAGTACGTGTCTTTTTATTATGGATCCATGTAAATGGCAGTAAATGTTTAAAGTAAAGTTTGGTTGACTGTTTCAGCTCTGTCGCTTAGAAAAGGAGAATCAATTGTTTAAATCAGTTTTCACAAAGACTCTTTTTTAAATATTCTCTAAATTTTTATTACCCAGGTTATTTGTTTATTTTTTTCCCTTTTTACTAGAGCTGATATTCAGAGATACACAAGCACACAGTCCTGCAGGTGTTTGTGCATGTGTGTGAACATCACTCCTTTGAGAACGTTTCACTGTGCCAGTCAGTTTATATATGGGATGGAGCAGCTTTATGATAGATCCCTGATGTCAGCCCAGTTCCAGTATGTCCAGTCAAAGCAGTACTGGCCTCACTGTACATGGAGGGTGGAGCGGTGGCTTTCTGTGGCCAGCAGGGGCAGAATCGAGCCACAAACCTCCTCCAGGACTCCAGGGTTTTTCCTGACCAAATCCAGACTCCTGAGGTGATGCCCACCACTAGGCACATGAAGTACTTGAGCATGAAGACAGCGTAGTCTGGGCCCAGGCCTGAGCGCTGGCGCTCAGACGGGCAGGAGCAGGCCAAGGCTCGCTCCCAGCCCGGCCGGTAGTGCTGCTCATAGACCAGGCATGCCACCACGATGGTGGCGGGGACGGTGTACAGCACTGTGAAGAGTCCGATGCGGATCATCAGACGCTCCAGTTTGTCTGTCTTGGTGCCACCTTGCTTGATGATGCTTCTGATGCGGAAGAGAGAAACGAAGCCAGCGAGTAAGAAAAGTGAACCAGTGAAGAGGTAAACCACAAGAGGAGCAAGTACAAATCCCCTCAGATTCTCCAGACTCTGGTTCCCCACATAGCAGATTCCAGCCACAGGGTCCCCATCCACAGAGCTGAGAGCCAGGACCACGATGGACTTGACGCTGGGGATAAGCCAGGCGGCGAGGTGGAAATACTGAGAGTATCCTGCGATGGCTTCACTACCCCACTTCATCCCTGCAGCCAGAAACCAGGTGAAGGACAGCACCACCCACCAGATGGAGCTGGCCATGCCGAAAAAATACACCAATAAGAAGACGAGGGTGCAGAGAGCCGGGCCAGTGGTGTCGTAGAGGATGTGCAGATGGTCACCAGCTCCGTTGCTGCTGGCACCACATGCCACTCGCTCATGACCTGCCACCAGGCGGATGATATAACCCAAAGAGACGAAGAGGTAGCAGGCAGCGAGGAAGATGATGGGCCTCTCTGGGTACTTGAAGCGTTCCATGTCTATGAGGAAGGTAGCAACAGTGGTCAAGGTAGAGATGAAGCACAGCACCGACCACAGTCCCACCCAGAAGCTGGTGAAGGCGTGTTCATCGGCTGAGAAGTAGGGTTGGTGGCAGGGCTGGGCGCAGTTGGGCAGGGGTCCGGTCTGGACCCGGCCGTACAGAGCGTGGGACTCCCTCTTGATGGGGACCAGTGGGTCTAGACAGCGACACTCCCTGTCACATAGTGGGGGGCTTGGGGGTCTGGTCCGGCCTTTAGTTGTGGGCTTAGGAAATGGAGGAGCCAAGGTGGTGGTCTCGCTGTTGTTCTGGTCCATGCAAAGGGTCTCGTCACCCAGCTGGGGCAGCTGCTCACAGCTCATCCTCTCGGGCCACTCGAAGCCATATTGGCTCATCAGAGGGGAGCAGCCACGTTTGGCCCGTTCACACACAGAGCGGCAGGGCGGCAGTGGTTTGCGGTAGTCCGGCAGGCAGATCGGGGTGTACATGCTGCACAGGAAGAAGAGCAGGTCCGGAGAGCAGCGGATCCGGACCAGGGGCCAGAACTGGTGCACCTCTAGCCCCACCTCCTCCTGAGTGTCATGGTTGAACTGATTGGGCATGTAGGTCAGGTTGTAGCCGATGCCCCTGCACATGGGCACAGTTATGGGCTCACACACCAGGTCCTTGGAGGCTCCTAACGTGGGACCAGCAAACCGGAACAGCAGAAGCAGCACGAGGGGCCGCGGTAACACCCGGCTGCACTGCGCGTGCCTCACCGTTGATGCCATATAGAGAATGAATATTAAGTTAGTTTTAGAATTACTAATCCAGGGTCATTAAGACAAGGAAATAAGAATAGTGGAGGGAGAGGGCCAATCAGCTTATCTTGATTCATGAGTTCATCTCGGAAACTTTCTTCCTCTGCTGATTAAATCAGCACCAGAGTTTCATTCTGCCCAAAGGGGGGGAAAAAATCACCTTTCAGCCTCTTAATGGTTAAAACAAAACAAGTTGAACTCCTCACGGTAAATCCACTTCGTCCATAAAGGTCCACAGAGCGCAAGGCGAGCCTCTGCTGTCAATCATTCACCAGAGCTCCCGCAATCATTATGGAGAAAGTTCATCTCCGGTGGTCACGTTCCAATAAATTTAACAGCCCCGTAACATTGTTACCAGCACCGTTTGTTCCAGACTGCTCGTCAACGTCAGAAAAAGTCGCATCATGAGAATCACGGTCGGTGGAAAAAGAGTAAAATCTGTCCGGGAGAATTTGAACAGTTGAATGGTGATTTCTGTTTTCTCAAAATGAAAAAAGTGTCCAGTTTCTGCGTCCGGACCCCGATGCGTAAAATCCACTTGACGTCTCCTCTCGGGTCGGTTTATTCCTTTAGTAACATGGAAACAGCTTATAGGCACATGTTTGCCTTTTCTTTTGAAAGTTTCACACAAGTGTCGTCTCTGCGGGAAAACACGATTGAACACGATGATGATACGAAGTGTCCTTCAGGATCAAAACTTCTCCGGTGTTGTCATGTACAGCGGTGCGCGGCTGCAGCCCTCTCTGAGCCCCAGGACAGAATAAAGTCCCTCCGAAGCTGCAGCGGCTCCTCATCACGCTGAGGGACTGCCGCCTTCAGGGCGTGTCGGAAATGTCACAATTCCACCATGAGGGACTATGAACATGAAAATCAAGATACGATTTCCCCCATTTTATGGAAAAGTTGCATAAGTTGATTTTATAAAGACAAGCACCAAACCAAAACAAACCAACAGTTTTGCCATGAAGGATAAAACGATGAAAATATTGCTCACATATTTTTTACTTAGTGTTTAATGGTTAATTATTGTCTCACAGACAATAAACTCAACTGTATAAAGTGCTTTATATAAGGCAAATAAATTAATCAGGACAACAATTAAAGACACAATGAAGGGAAAAATAAAGTAGGATAAAATAATAAAACAAAATTTAAGCAATTAAAAAAAACGAACTAAATTAAGACAAAAATAATAGATAATACAGTTTATTATAGTTTCAGTTGTAGTCCTGAATGCACCGCTATGGTGATTCAATTACGTCAAGTGTCCTTATTTACTCCAGAACTGTACAACTGTATGTTTCTGTGTTATTTTATATAGTATTGACAGTTTCTCTTGAGGCAGGACTCAGTTCAGTCAGTTTTTCCACTTTTTGTCAATTCATTTTCTGCAAATCGACCTGATGGTGCTTGCACATTAATGCATCGTTGATAATAAACCTGTGATAACCCCTAATATTCTGTACAATAATGTATCACTCTGAACGTAGCAATTCTACATAATGAACTATTGTACTTATTTAAGTACATTTGGTTATTAAATAGACTGCTTTTATTTGAGTTTTGAATGCTGAAGTATTTTATAATGTATTTACTTTTGTTTACTTAAGTAACAAAAAAAATGCACTGCTTTTAAATCCAACATCTGGTCTCCAGTATAATCCTAAACTCTGTCCTAATCTGGATTTGTCATTAACACAATCCACACAAGTTGCAAATGTGAACTTCCTGGTTTGTTTCTTTATTCTGCAGCTCTGCAGTGAAGCCTAATTTCTAAAAGCTGAGCCCATGTTGTGATCATCTCCCACCAACAGCACTTGAACGCATCGGTGAGTTGTATTTATAACTTCCTGCATTAGGAGGTAGGACTTTACCAGGGGAGCTTGAAGGTATCAGATGATGGATAAACTCTCTCCACCCACTAACAACTCAACCAAACGACCACACACACACACACACACACACACACACACACACACACACACACACACACACACACACACACACACACACACACACAGTATTGAATTTGTATTTCTCACTTGTGGTTTATTTCTGATTTTGTGAATCGTCTTTTCCTCACAATACTATAATTCTTATGTGATGGTCTCAGACACTCACTTCTGTTTAGTCTTTGTGATTTCAGTCTAAATTCTTCTTACTACCCATGAGGACCAAATTATCCTTTATCCTTAAATCAGTCCTTTCATGATACTTGTTCGGCTGCACGTATAGAGGAACATTGATATGCATTTTGTTCACATACACTGTCCCTGACCTCTGACGGACCTCTAACCTCAGTTTGTCATTAACGTGTGCAGTCAGTCAGTCAGTCAGTCAGTCAGTCAGTCTGTCGCTCCCCGTTTTCTCTGGCTACACTGACGGTGACTCCAGGACACACAGTTAACAGAAGTTTGATGCACTGACACATTTAATGCAACATATACAACCATGTGTAAATCAACAGACGTTAAACCATGTGCACACATACCAGGCGGAATGATTTGTTTACAGCCAACACGCTGTATTTTCAAACAGATTTGCTGTTAACGAGGTAAAGAGTACCCCAGCGCTTTGTCGTCTTCTTCATCCTCACCTTCCTCTGTCATTTCACCGCTGCCATGTCGAAGCTGGTTTCAAGTCAGTTTTTTTTTTTGTATTGACCCACACTCCACATTTTACAGTCTCTACAACATACTACACCTTTTTCTTTTTTCAGCATTGTTGAAGGCGCAGTGAAAACGAGTTTACAAAGCTACGATACAGATAATTGAACTTTGATTAAAACCTGTATGTTACTATGTTTTGTAAATTCATCTTTTCTCTTTTAACACGCATTACGTTTTCGGGTTGTCTGTCCGTCCCGTTCTGGTGAACGCGATACCTCAGCAACGCCTTGAGGGAACGTCTTCAAATTTGGCACAAACATACAGCTGGACTCGAGGAGGAACTGATTAGAATGTGGTTGTCAAAGGTCAAAGGTCACTGTGAACACAATGTTGGGCATAAATCAGAAATTCATACAATAATTATGCCACAATTTTACTCAAGGGTCTATAAGGATAAAATGAAGTGATGACATTTTATACCCTATTGTCAAAGGTCAACTTCAGCGCTGTCACTCGGGAAGGGGAGATTGTGACCATATTTCCTGCAACTTACAACCGTTTCATGCGTTAATAATCAATTTCACTTAATCACTTACATATAACAGGTTATTTAAATTTTCCTAAATTTCACAGAGACGATTTCATACAATATGATTGCTGAGTTTTTGTAGCAATATGAAAATAATACTGTTTTTTTTTTTTTTTTCACTTTAAGAAATATAAAAGCAGCTGCACAAGAACTTCTGTAAATAAAATACTAAAAGTTTTCATTTCAATCAGGACATATTTGATGAAATATGTCAAGAAGATGATCAGACATTGGATGTCAGCTTTCAGACAGTTTTTGATGCGTGAAGCTACAGGACAGATTTCAGTCGGTATCAAAAAAAGTATAAAGGTTCAATACCCAGTCAAAATCAATTCACAACATGTACTGATGTGAGTTATTGTTGGCAGGTAAAGCTTGAGGCATGTTCAGAATGAAATCACTGATGTTTAAATACAACAAAATCAAAAATGATTGGGGAAAAAAAAAATCTGTGGTGATCTTACGACTCTGCTCCGTCTCTCTCCCTCTATACACACATGCAGCCATATCCCACATCGAACAAAGGTCACAGCACTCTCTGGGGGACAAAGGTCTCATAGGGTGTGTTTGTGTGTGTGTGTGTGTGTGTGTGTGTGTGTGTGTGTGTGTTAGGTGGTGAAGGTGTGTGTGCTCAACATATCAGCCAAGACAAGTCTTTCTCGGTCTGATTCACCTCCACTCAGGTTACTTTGATAAATGAAAGCAAACAGCGAGGAGTTCATGTGTAAAGCCTGGATGGCATCAATATCTTGTGTACACACGCATACACACACACACTAATACACCCGCGCACACACACACACACACACTAATACACACATATGTGATTAACCCGTGGTGATTTTCCCAGGTGCCAGGCCTGTTTGACTAAGACTTAAGCGAGAACACAAGGAGACGTGACCTGCATCACTGGTGATCAGGTAACCATGGGATACACACACACACACACACACACGCACACACACACTTGCACTTCTATATTTATTGATTGGCATAATGAATCATCTCGTCTGTTGACTTAACAGACTAATTTAAACTTTAATCCTCAAACAGCCATCTGAAGAAGACCAGAACACAAACGTCTTCACTGTTAAACGCTAAAGCTGGTCCTCACAGAGAGGTACAGGAGTGCACACTAAGGGCGTAGGTTTGGTCTCAGCATTGGTAGGGACACAACAACCCTGCCGCCCCTCCCAAAGAAAGAGGACTTTTTAAATGCCGTCAACCAAATGGTTTATTAAAATAAAAGATCTGTATTTACATTTAAAGAAAAGCTATACACAGCAACAGAAGCCTAACCCTAACCAAATGCTTGTGGAGCTTCTACAGTCACGTGAAGTGTTTGAAGGAGGAATTAGGAGTTTCTCAGCCTTGGCATTAGAACTCCAAGTAGTAGAAATATAAAGTAGCATAGAAAAATAGTAAAGTAGATGTACAGCGCTTGGTGATTTATATTGTTATTCTCCACTGGCGTTTATTAAATGGTTGACTAAAGAGACAAATTCGTGACTACTGACTTGACGCAGTCGTGCTTCCTCTAAATTCTGCTTTGTTCCCAGTCTGAACACACTTTAGGCTGTTTACTTACAAATGATGTAACTCCACTGCAGAACATTTTTCCAAAGCGCACTGGAGGTTGCGTTTTCTTCACCCCTCCCAGGCAGCCCACTTTCATGTCAGCACTGCATGGAAATCAACATGCAGGGACTTGGAGCTTGTTTGAGTGAGGCCATCCGTCATAGTGAACAAACATCACATCTGCTTTTGTTGTCAAGAGTTACGTTGCTGTTGTGTGGTGATGTGTAGTTTAGACTTCTTACATCAGTCTGACTGGATGGAAATCAGCCGCTGCATGGAAAGGAGGAAAAAAACATTAAAAAAAAAAAAAAAAAAGAAGTCTGAAACAGTGCTGCATGCTGGGAAATAAAAACACCAAAGTGACACACCTGTGGTTTACAGTGCATGAGGGTGCTTGGGATCAGTACGTTTCTGCATGTGGAGATGTTGTGGCACTGTTCTGGTCATTTTGATTTATGATACTACTGGGCTCGTGTTGTTGATTTAGATTCATTAAAAATACAAAAATCTGTCCTGAACAGTTCCAAGAAGATTTGAATCGGGGACAGCTGGACTTGGTTGTCTTGAGAGGTGACAGGTCTTTAAGATCTACAACCGAGTCCAGAGCGCCTCGATTCAGCTCTTCTTGGACAACCATGACCTGGATGACTGCGAATCTTCACAGACATCTTACTATGTTTTGAACAGACTTTATTGGCTTTTTCTTCAAAGACAGGACAAGTGATTTTCAGCAGCAGAGTACAGAGAGAGGATCTGGCTTTAGTTGTGCTGGTTCATATGTTTTTACAAAACTCCACCACACAGATGAACATAATAAAAACTAAAAAAAATCTGTAGAGATGCACATTTTCATCCCTTATATCATCTATATAGGAAGAACAACCCTGATCGTTACCACCAAGGTGAAGAAGTATTCCAAGCTGAGGTCTCAGTTGGATGATTGATTGATGTGATTTCTACACCAGA